CCTCAGCTGTCCAGGTCAGGCCATGTTCATACAGTAGTGGCTGCTGAGTTGTGGAAGCAGGGGGGGGGGAAAGGCTTTGGAAGAAATCCCCTCTTATAGGTCTATGATATCCATAGTTTGGAATAATAATAGGCAGGGCTCTTTTCGTAGAAAAAGCCCAGCAGGGACTCATTAGCATAATAGGCCACACCCAACAGCAGAAACCCATTTGCATATTAGGCCACACCCCTGACAGCACAACTCATTGGCATATTAGGCCGCACCCCCATGTTACCAGAAGTGTGCTTCATCCAGCCACACCCACCTTTTGCTTCATATTCTATTTACCCAGGGCTTTTTTGTAGCAGGAACTCCTTTGCATGTTAGGCCACACACCCCTAATGTAGCCAATCCTAATGAGTTTCTGCTGTTGGGTGTGGCCTGTTATGCTAATGAGCTCCTGCTGGGCGTGGCCAACTTGGGAGCCAGCCGGAACTCCGTTCCTGAGCGTTCCTGCCCAAAATAGCCCTGATAATAGGATAATTAACATACTACATTTATATTATGTAACATAGGATCAGTTTGTTACATCATCCATCAGAGAGGGCCAGTTTGGTGTAGTGGTTAAGTGCGCGGACTCTACTCTGGGAGAACCGGGTTTGATTCCCCACTCCTCCTCCACTTGCACCTGGCTGGATGACCTTGGGTCAGTCACAAGCTCTGGCACAGCTGTTCCTGAAAGAGCAGTTTGTGTCAGAGTTGTCTCAGCCCCACCCACCTCACAGGGTGTCTGTTGTGGGGAGGGGAAAGGAAAGGAGTTTGTAAGCCGCTCTGAGACTCCAAGTGAAGGGCGGGGCATAAATCCAGTCTCCTCCTCCTCCTCCTCCTCCTCCTCCATATTATTTTGCAAATAAGTACAATGGGGTTGGTAGATGTACAGACTGTGATTGGAGAATTTAGTTAAGAAGACGTATGCTTAGGACCCTGTCACACGGGCCAAATAACGCGGGGGGGGGGAGGCATGGCTGTTTGCCCCGGAGCAAAATAAAGTGCGGTAGCCCGATCACACAGTCCCTCGAGGCTTCGCGCTTAGGCTGTTAGCTGGCGATCACACGGCGATGCTGGAGCGTGGCAAAGAAGCGGCGCGGCAAGCATTTCGCGTTTGTGCACAGGTGCAGTTCCGCGGAGCAGCACTGCTTTCAGTTATGTGTTTGTGCGCATAAGCTTACGAAAAACATCCAGTTTGTGACGGGACATGGACAGGCGCCGGATGCCACGGGATACTAGCGCTCCCGCGATCAGATGCCCGCCCCTGCCTCGCGTTTTCTGGATACTAGTGCACTTTCCTTGGTACTTTTTAACTCCGCGTCTTTGGCGGGATGCCATGGGTTGGCCACAGGTGTGCTACGCTTCCCAGATGTTGCGGTATGATCGCGCCCCGAAAATCCACCTGACATTCGTGCCTTTAGCACAAATCCTCCGTGTGAACGGGGCCTTAATTTTATTTTTCACAGAGAATTTAAAAGAGTCTCATAGAGACTCAAAGTGGATTACAGACAACATGGGATTATGTACAATTTCCTGCATTTTCTGTCTTTGCATTCTATTGTTATTGAATGCTTTTCAGGTCTGAATACATTTTGTTGAGTTGAGTTATATAGTTGTTTGTGTTTATACCCCAGCTTCTTTCCCAATGGTGACCCAAAGCAGTTTACAAATCAAATCAAATTGTATTGCACGGTCAAAGACCAGCAGCGATAAAATACTACAAACCCCCCCCCCCAATTAAAATTGATATTAGTAAAAAAATAACACAAATTAAAATAGACAGTGATATAAATAGACAGTAAGAAAAATGGGTTGTGTTTACATAAACCCGGATAACGAAAGCAACTGACGGATTTTATAGGCTGTTGCACAGAATTTTGCAACTGAGGCTGTAATTTTTGGATTTCCATCTTCTATGTCATGAGCGGCGACGATGGTGCTGAGTCCCCGCCTGAGTTGGCATCGCAGCCAGAGGCACTGGCATTGCCAGAACCAGAAGCCGACCCCTCTGACTCCTCACAAGTTGATAGCTTGCCAGCGCCTGAGCCTGCAAACCCCGCACCTAGTCCTACAGCAGCCAAGGAGGCACAGGTGCAATCGGGGAGCCCACCTGACTCACCTCCGCAGGTGGTTCAGCTAAGGGAGTGGCTTCGCAGAGACTTAGCCATCCGCTGTTGAGATGCACGCTGGCAGGGAAGGCGAGCGCCAAGTCCTGAGTATTAGCAGGAGCGCCACCACTACCATGGGAAGCCCAGCCAGAGGCCTATATAACTCGCACTCAGCATTGAGCTCTCGTGGAATCAGTGAGTTGCCTCTGTGCGTGCCTCGCATCCACCTTCATCTCCTATTCTGGGGTCCCCGCTCTGGCTCGGATTCCTGGCTTCCCAACCCCTACTTCAGACGACCCCTCTTTCGGACTCCTAATCTGGCTCTCGCTCTTACTCTCCTGGCAACAACCTCAGACCGGACTTGACTTCTGCCTCTCAGCCCAAGCCCAACCCCTAACATTCTAGGAGTAGCCCAAGCCCAACCCCTAACATTCTAGGAGTAACCCAACGTATCCCAAGGGGGGAAAGGCATTTAAAGGGATTGTGATCCCTTTAGATGCCTTTTGCAAGCCATGAGTGAACTCTGAAGCCAGTTAAAGGGCTTCTTGAAGTGGCGAGTTCACCTGGAAGGTGTTTAAAGGGACTGTAATCCCTTTAAACTGCGGTGGCTCAAGTGGTTAAGACGCTGAACTGCAGGCTGTGGAAGGTCAGTAGTTCAGCAGTTTGAGACCCGTGTGCCGCATGATGGAGTGAGCTCCCATCTCTAGTTCCAGCTCCGGCCAACCTAGCAGTTCAAAAGCAAGAAATTGCAAGTAGATAAATAGGTACCACTTCGGTGGGGGAAGGTAACAGTGTTCCGTGCACCTTGGTTTTTAGTCATTGCGTATTGTAGATAAATGTCCAGAATATTGTACACTAAGTGTGGGAAGGTGGAAAGACTGATGGAACTATAAAGACAGGTTTTGTGTATCTGGGTTCAGTTATCAGACGATTATAGGTTTTGCGAGGTGGTGTTTGCAGATCTCCTGTTCTGCCATTTTTTTGTTCTCTTGCCTCTTCTTGTTTTTCAGTCGTTTCACCTAAATTGATTTTTCTGTTTGATGGTTGCAGAGGATTTTCCTGCCTCCCTAGTGATCCTGCTCTTTGAAGGCTTAAAATGTGCCTCTTTTGATGTTTTGGAAAGGAATCTAAATATGCTTAATCACTTGGATTTACAAAGGAAACCAGCGAAGATGTACCCAGCAATCATCTTTCCTGCAGTTAATTTCCCCAGTTTTCTTTCCTGTAAAGATTTGTGTCCTTCAGCTATCACTTGGCTCACAAATGATTATAATTTAGGGAGGGGGAATCCAGCTGTTGGAAAGCGGAAGGGGGGGAAATGTGTCTGAGAGCGGAAAGATACGATTCGCCTTTTATAGGGTTTTTAGGAAACAGCAGACATAAATGATTGTACAAAACACAGAAATAGCTGTCTGTACACTCAACAAAGATTTTACATAATGATGCGATCTTTGCGAATAATTTGCTTGAAAACCAAACTTTCCTGCATAGAACGTGCATTTCTTTTTTGCAATTGATCACCCCATATGTTAGCATTGACTTTTTGCTCATAAATTAAAAAAAAAGCGGTGTTTAGAGCATATCATCCATCCTCTACCTGCTGCTGATACATGTTCAGAATGTACCGGATTTCTTTTTGGTGTAGTGGTTAAGTGCGCAAACTCTAATCTGGGAGAACCGGGTTTGATTCCCCACTCTTCCACTTGCACCTGCTGGATAGCCTTGGGCAAGCCATAGTTCTGGCACAGCTGTCCTTGAAAAAGAGCACTTTCTGTCAGCGCTCTCTCAGCCCCACCTACCTCACAGGGTGTCTGTTGTGGGGAGGGGACGGGAAAGGAGTTCGTAAGCCGCTCTGAGACACCTTCGGGTAGTGAAGGGAAGATGCCTTTTGCAAGCCATTGGTATAAATCCAATCTTTTCTTCTTCTTCTTTTTAATTTTTCAAATTTTATTGAGACATATATAGTGACATATATAGTTTCATATAAGCATTCATCTGGAGAGAGAGATACATTTTGCACATATAACAGCTGAGCATAATAATACAACCAACTTGTTGAAACAGAATAACAAGCATTACATTTGAGAGTACAACCATTTATAAGAGCAAAGAACAATACAAGCTGCAAAACTGAGAGACATATTAAGTGCTATATTAATTATCATTGTGGTGGAATCTTGTAAAGCGGAGAAGGTGCCATATCACCTCACAAGGGATTTGACTCTAGGTAAAGATAAAGGTTTCCCTTGCTTGAAAGCCAGTCGAATCCAACTCTAAGGTTGTGGTGCTCATCTCCGTTTCCAAGCCGAAGAGCCAGCGCTATCCGAAGATGTTTCCATGGTCATGTGACTGGCATGACTAGATGCCGAGGCGCATGGAACGCTGTTACCTTCCCACCGAAGCGGTACCTATTTATCTACTTACAATTTCTTGCTTTCGAACTGCTAGGTTGGCAGGAGCTGGGACCAGAGATGGGAGCTCACTCAGTCATGCGGCACACTTGGGTCTCAAACTGCTGAACTACCGACCTTCCACAGCCTGCAGTTCAGCGTCTTAACCACTTGAGCCACCGCAGCTCCTATTCTGTAACATACTAGTCATGAAAATCATTTTTCTTGTTTGAATGATTTGCAGTAGTACTGAAATAGCCTTTTTTTTTTTTTGCAGCAGTATATGGACTAATAATTAAACCTCCCCCCCCCCCGCCTTCTTATATCCCATTTGAATCTTCCTTTACATACCCCCTCAGACTCCTGTCTTGGTTGGGGTGGGGGCAACACAATCTCTGTGTTGGGGAGTAGGAAGTAGATTCCACTGATACACTCTCAGGAATGCTCTATAAATACCCACTTGACTAAGTCGCCCATGGCAACCAAGAATTATCTTCAGGTGAGCAGATGGGGAAGCTTAAGAAATGTTGGTTATTTGTGTGTGCGCGTGGCTACTGTGTGTGGGCCGACGGGCCAATCAAAACACTTGTAGACTAGCCACTTTTATCTTTTGTTTTCAAAGCCGATTCGTGAACGGCCACACTGGTTAAGGACCTAGCCATTTTTTTTAGCGTGGCTTGTGGAAGTTCACCAGGCCAGTAGCCCCCGGGGCTGCCCTGCCCCTGCCATTCTCTGACCCTGAAGGGTCTGCCCCTGCCAGGTCATGACGACCACAGCCTTGCCACATCCCATTCCCTACTCCAGATGAGTGCAAGTCCCCAAGCGATTCCAACGCATCTCCATCGTCACCGTCTACACACCGTCACTGGAACACCTTCAAGAGTACACGTTCAACCAGTGCTCCACCAGCCACACTGGCTTCGGTGGAGTATTGAATCAAGATCAAGGTGTTGGCTTTAACCTTTAAATCCCTTTCAGTCTGGGACCGACATAATCTTTGGAACCATCTCTCCTGGTAGGTCCCTCAGAGAGCATTATGCTCGGTGGGTCAAAATCTATTGGTGATCCCCGGCTCAAAAGGTACCCACTTAGCTTCAACCAGAGCCAGGGCCTTCTTGGGTTTTGTAGGGCCTTCTCGGCTCTGGCACCGGCCTAGTGAAACACTCTCCCGAGTGAGATCTGGGCCCTTTGGGACCTGATGCAGTTCCGCAGGGCCTGCAAATCGGAGATATTCCATCAGGCCTATGGTTGAGGTGGCGGCAGTTCCATCTGTACTAGCCTACCCTGCCCTGCCCTGCCTTGCTTTGTTGCTCTACTTGGCGGTTCTCCTGCTATAGTACCATCAAAACTTCCAAGGACACACCTGAAGTACAATCCTCTTCGAGAAGACGACACACCTAGTTGCACCAAACTGTGTGCTGCCATCTGATTGTCTAGAGTAATAATAATACTCTTTAAAAGCTCTTAGCTGGCCGGGTTTTAGCAGGGGCAGCCTCTTGGTTCTTGGCCTCCTGCATTTCCCCCTCCCTGCTCTGTTCTTTGGATGGTTCCCTTCCCGTAAGGGAATGTGGGGCTCTGCTGCCAGGTCATTTGGTGAGTGAACATCTGAGAAGTCTTCTTATTGCTGTGTGCCAAATATATGCCTGGGTAGTTCTTGTTAAGTCGCTCGCTTAACAAAGCAGTCGGAGAGTGATTCAGCAAGAAAACAACTTTATTCTTCAACTCGAACACAACTCCAACACAGATCAACATCAAATAGACAGAACAGAACAGTTCAGCTTTTCCATTGCAGTAGTCCTGCTTTTAAACATTCCCGGCTAATATAGCCACGCCCACTGTACAATTACCAACCAATGAGGTTGTACCAATAAAGACCAATCACGAGCGTCCCCGCTCAGAGAGCTTGCTGTGAAGTGATTGGATGTTAGTTCCTGGGCTGGCAACCTGATTGGATGTATTTGGATCCTAGCCCAGGACGAAGCTCAACATGGCAATTCAATTAGATGTTTCACAACACTATGCATCCAATAGGCAGCCCATTGAATACATTACAGTTCTGTTAAAATCAGTCGGCTGTTGATTGAAGACGCCCTGACCTGTATGGCCCAGGCTGGCCCCATCTGGTCAGGTAGTATTTCAGTGTGAGACCACCAAGGAAGTCCTGGGTTGCTACGCAGAGGCAGGCAATGGCAAACCACCCCTGTTTGTCCCTGTCCTGACCTGGATGGCCCAGGCTGGCCTGGTCTCATCAGAACTCATGAGCTCAGCAGGGCCAGCCCTGGTTAGGACTTGGATGGGAGACCACCAGGGAAGTCCAGGGTCGCTAGGCAGAGGCCGGCGATGGCAAACCAAACCACCTCTGAATGTCTCTTGCCTTGAAAACCCTACTGGGCCACCATAAGTCGGCTGCCACTTGATGGCACTTTGCACCACCAGACTGAAGAACATGGAGCGGATCCTGCCAGCTCCTTAGCCAACAGAGTTTCCTAGGCTTGCCAAGTCCCCCCAGGGGGCGGGGAAACCCCCGCCCCAGAGGCCCATTCCCCGCCGCCGGCGGATCGGGCCCCGGGGGGAGCCCTACCCCGACGTGCGCATCACCCGGAAGTGACACAACCACACCGGGCACGCTGGGGGCGGGGCCACGGTCATCCGAGGGAAAACTCTATGGTTTTCCCTCGGATGGTCATGGCTCCGCCCCCAGCGTGCCCGGCGGCGGCACGTCACTTGCGGGTGACGTGCGTGCGGCGCCTGTGCGCTCCAGATGCCAGCCGGGAGTCCCCCGCTGCGGCGCAACACCCGACTTGGCAACCCTAGCGTTTCCCCCCAATTGAAGTGGCTCTTCTGTTGGAAGGAGGGCCATGTAAGTTGAATGAAGGCCCCTTAGGCTGTAGGAGGGCTTTCGATTTTGCTTGAGGCAGGGTGCCTGCACCCATCCCAGTGTCAGTAACTTGTTGCATTTTGTTGGCTCAGTTCGTGACACAGTTTCTGTAACTGGGGGTTACAGAGAGACTTTTTATGGGATTGAAAAATGACAGAAGAGATCTCTGAAGTTGCTGATGGTCAGATCTGAAATGGTGGAGATCCACATACCGAGGCTGCCGTGCTTCACACACAGAGGTGCTTCTTGAGTAATTTTCATTAGAACCAATATTGAATCAACCACTAGATTAGGGGTGGCCAAACTTGCTTAATCTGTGCTTGAGAGGCATAAGACATGAACAAATATAACCCACACATTTTTATTGAAAAAATATACAAATTTGCTTTTTATTAATATTACATGACACTGCCAAAAATAAAAACAAAAGGGGTAAAAGCAGGTATTGATAATGATATTTAACTTTAGATGGGGAGGGAGGGAATAAAGAAAACAGGCAGGCAGGCAGGCAGGAAGGAAGGAAGGAAATAGATGGGAGGAGAGAGGGAAGGAGGGAGCCGTGCCTACCTCACAGGGTGTCTGTCGTGGGGAGGGGAAGGGGAAGGAGATCGTAAGACGCCCTGAAGTACAGGAAGATTTCTAGGAGATGGATGAAACTTGTTCTTTAGGATTGAATGGCTACTTAAATTTTGCGAGAACAACCTTCCCTATCTAAATGATTAGTAAAACATTATTCAAAGGGGTGTGTGTGTCTAGAATTAGAGTGAAAGGACTCTAATGAGGATACAGGTCTCGATACGAAGACAGCTGAATCTGTTGGTGATTTGGATCTGACGAGCACCCTCACAACTCATTTCAAGTCGGCCAAAGTGTGGAGTGCAGAAAAGTCTCATACCAAAGAATTAATAGTGTTTTTTTTCTCTTGTTAGACAAAAGCAAAATAATGCAAGGCCTATTTAGCTTTTCAGTGGACTGTGCCACTGCAGAGCTTCACTGTACCATATATAATATCTGTTATCCATGCTTCAGAAAGTGCTAATACACAGCTGAATGATGGTTCGAAGAACAGAGCTTCCGAGTCCTTTGTTTCCTTGGAGAGTTTTGGTTCGTCATTTCTCGGCAAGACTGCTCTCTGGCAATCTGTCCGGAATTCTGCAAGCCACTCGTCACTCAGATCTACAAGTCAGCTGTGCTGAAATCAATGGGATTTTTCTTTCCAGTAAAAGTTGTCCAAGATGATGATGGTGGGATAGCCAACAGATGGCTGCCCAATGATCGTAGCTGGCACACAGGGACACGTGGAAGGAGACAGTCCTTCAAATATTGTGGGTCCCAGGTTGTGAAGGGCTTTGAAGGTTATACCCAGGACCATGAATTGAACTTGGAAACAGACTGGCAGCCAATGTAGATTTTACAAAGTGGGCAATATATATTCTCAGCAGCTAGCCCCCTGACAGTAGTCAGGCTGCTGCATTCTAGACCAGCTGTAGTCTCCAGGTTGTCTTCAAGGGTAGCCCCATGAAGAGCATGTTGCAGTAATCTAGCTGTGATGTTACAGAAGCATGGATCAGCGTGGCCAGATCGACCAAGTGTGGGTAACAAGGTGAATATTCTCAGCAGCTAGCCCCCTGGCAGTAGTCAGGCTGCTGCATTCTAGACCAGCTGTAGTTTCCAGGTTGTCTTCAAGGGTAGCCCCGTGAAGAGCATGTTGCAGTAATCTAGCTGTGATGTTACAGAAGGATGGATCAGCGTGGCCAGATCGACCAAGTGTGGGTAACGAGGTGAATCGGAGGCTGCTGACAGAAGGTGTTCCTGGACACTGTGCCAACCTGCTTTTCAAACAGCAAGGCAGGTTCCATGAGTATCTCAAGCTCTTGACCTGTTCTGAAAAAAAAATCACTCCGTCTAGGGCAAGTGGCTTTCTAGCCAGTATCACCACTGTCTTGTTTGTATTCAGCTTGTTCTGCCTTAGCTTTCTGTCGGAAAGATAAAATGAATAGCCCCATATATGATGCTCGGTCATAAACAAATTTTGGCTCGTACTTACGGAATGATCAAAAGCAGCTGTCTCAAGGAAGGGTACTTATTGAACAGAGATTTGGCCAAGAGATGTAAATTCAGAGTGGGACTGGGGATGGTTCTTCTAACCTGAGTTGGTGTATCTCACTAACGGTGTGGTAATTGCTTGAAAATTGAGCCCATGGGAATTCTTCTTCACATAGGAATCTTGTTTGTGGAAAGCAGTTTCCCTCACTGTACAGGTACGGCAGTAATCATTGTAGATTATTAAACTGTAGTTTGCCATAAAGACATGGGACCATTTATTCCACATGCTATTGTACCTTTTAATGCAGGACAGGAAACCAGGGGATAATGAAGCTTAAACTTCAGGAGGGGCCCTGAATTAACTTTTTTTTTTTTAAATGAGTGAATTTTTCAACAGAATTGATGGCATTTTTTTAAAGTGTTTCTTATTCAAATAAGGCTATTTTAGTGACAGAATCATGCCAATGGGTCGAAGTACTTATTATTGATCTTAGTATATGCTCTAATACCCGTTTCATATGGCCTCAAATTGTCCCTGCAATTGGTCAGATTTCAACATTTTCTCGGGGGCCCCCATAACAGTTCAAGCTTCAGGGTCCCCAAAATGCAGGTCCGCCATGGCAGGAAACCATTTTCTTAAGCAAGGAAAATCAAAAAGGGATGGTGGAGGGAAAGCTCTGCAGGTATATGAATTCCTCTTGGATTACTCTGATTTAAGATTGTTTCACTGAATAGCCGCAAGATTTGTGAAGCTGGTTCTAGGAGTCACTGATCAGGCAGTTGATATGCACTGTGGGAGGTTTCCTGTTCATATTGCCCAGGTTTATTTGTAATTCTGAGATTTCATTACGGGGGGGGGCATTGTTTTTCTTGTGTTTTTTCCCCCCAGTTAGGCAAAATAAACCCACATCTAGGGTTGCCAGATCCTACCTGGCTGCCCGCGGGCGGATTCAGCCTCTTCTCCAGGATTTTCTGGCACGCGCACAGAGTGCACATTCCGCACTGATGTCACCCAGAAGTGATGTCATCACTTGGGGGCATCGGTGGGGGGGGTGACACTCTAGTCTTTGGGCACATCTCTATGGGTTTTTTGCCTTCAAAACCATAGAGTTTGCCCAAAAACTAGAGCATCACCCCCGACATTCCCGATGCAATGACATAACTTCTGGGTAGTGTCATCACGTCTGGGGCATCGCCCAGTGATTTCTCTGTTGGGAGGTGGGGCGTCCCCCTTTCAGCCAGCTGGCCGGCGGCAGATCGGAGCCCCACAAAGAGGGGGAAGCCCCCACTGGGAACTGGGAGATGGCAACCCGACCCACATCTGACCTGAATTGCTTTCCGATGTGCTTGATTGGACTAAACAATGACCTGCATCCACATAATTTATGGAGAATGGAGTGGGAACTTCTGAGAAGGTGGTTTTTTTTTAGCTTAATTATTTTATTTTGTTTTTTTTAGCTTAATTATTAGGTGTTTTTTTTTTGCTTAATTATTTTATTTTGGCTTCTCCCAGAAACAGTATATAGACTCCCATTTTACAGGAAAACAGAGTTCCCAATGGTTTTGCACCCCCTCCCCTCCCCTAACCCTAACCCTTTCTTTTAGGTTTGATTTCCTTGCTTACTTTCTGCGCACACCATATTGATTTTTATCAGTCTCACACCCTGCTTGCTTCTCAGACACAACAAGCTAGCAGGAAATGACACGATGCCTGTGAGATGTATAAAATATGAGGCACTACCTTAAGCTGTAACCTGTTGAGGCTATAGCACTCTCTGCTTTGGCTCCTGTCAGAACCCACAGCTAACAACGAAGTACACGCATTCAGGAACGGTTATACTTTTATTGCAAAGCTATAGATGCTTTGCAATAACACAGGCACTGTTAGGAATGGCCACAGCCAGTAGAGCATAATAGGATATAGGGTATTCATATGCACCCCCTCCCATGGCATTGGCCAATTAGGCACGCGGGCTAGAGCGGCAAGCGTTAGCTGAGAACTGGAAGTCTCCCACGGTAAAGAGGAGTTCTCCAGACACCACAACCTCCTCCTGCACACCTGTAAAGATAAGCATTTCAGCAAAGGCATAATCGCAGGGATAGGAATGCAATAGCAATTAACAAGACACAGAATGAACTCCCCAACCCCCCTGGCAGCATAGCTGACAGCTCTACCACGTCAATGGCATCCCAGCCGTTTTAACTGAGAACTGGGGGTGCTGAGCATGGAATATGGGATTTCTGGACCCTTTCCAAGAAGCAGGTTTTCGAAAAGAAAGACACGCGCCAGTCAGAATGCACAGTGACTAGTGATATTGATAGCCTTGCATGATGAACACAGCAGGAGATTGTAAAGGTGTTGAAAAGATACAAAGCAAGAGCTGGCATTCTTTTGACGAGAAGAAGAAGAAGAAGAAGAAGAAGAAGAAGAAGAAGAAGAAGAAGAAGAAGAAGAAGAAGAAGAGATTGAATTTATACTCTCCCTTCACTACCTGGAGCCAGTCGAGTCCGACTCTAGGCTTGTGGTGCTCATCTCCGTTTCAAAGCAGAAGAGCCAGCGCTGTCCAAAGACATTTCTGTGGTCATGTGGCCGGCATGACTAAACACCAAGGCACACAGAACGCTGTTACCTTCCCACTGAAGTGGTACCTATTTATCTATTTGCAATTTCTTGCTTTCGAACTGCTAGGTTGGCAGGAGCTGGAACTAGAGATGGGAGCTCACTCCGTCATGCAGCGCACTTGGGTCTCGAACGGCTGAACTACCGACCTTCCACAGCCTGTAGTTCAGCATCTTAACCACTTGAGCCACCACAGCTCCTTAAGTCCTCATTAGTCTATCATTATTAATCCACTTTCTCCCCTTTCTTTCCATGTGATACTTCTGTTTCCCCCCTGAGTTGATTTGTTGTGATTCTGTTTTGCTCTTTTGTGTGTATTGCAAGCACAATCTGTGCTGTGTGAGGATAGTCTTCTGTCTTGTAATTAGCATGATTCCTCATCTTCCCTTCAACCTCTGGGCAACACAGTAACAGCTACCGCAGTTGGAACTTTTTAAAAAAAATGTTTATTATTGCCACTATAACACCGGTGAGAATTAACATTCATTTCTCAGCATATGGTTTCTAGGGAGAGAATTTCAATTCCGTTTGGAAAGGGAGGACTCATGGATTCTTCTTGTCCAGTTGTGAATGATGGATGTAGCACAATCCAACGGTGTGAAAATACAGCCAGAGAGTGTTGCCAATAAACATACAGACCGATTTCCCACAACATACAGACTGATTCCGCCCTCGCCTCTTCCGTGTGCCCCAGTTGCATGGAAAAGTTTGCCCCCGTTGCATGGGTCAGTTTCACACTATTCGCTGAGTGGCCGCATTTTGACCTGCATCTCCCCCCCCCTTTCGATTTCCCCCGCGTCTTTTAGATCCTAGTTTTTTGAGATTGCGAAGACACGGGGGAAATCAGGGGAGGGGATGTGCGTCAAAATGCGGCTGTGCAGCGAATAGTGTGAAATTGGCCAATGCAACCGGGGCAAACGGAAGAGCCAGGGCGGCTCAGCTGCTTGTGTGGAATCGGTCACATACAGACATCAATACCACCAAGACTCATAATTTTGCCAGATCTGCTCAGCTGTACAAGTAACCCACCAGGTCAGCATTAAGGTGGCCAACCACCAGGTGGGGCCTGGGGATCTCCTGAAATTATAACTGATCTCCAGGTGACCGAGATCGGTTCGCGTGGAGAAAATGGCTGCTTTGGAGGGCGGAGTCTATGGTGTTCTATAGCGTTGAGGTCCCTCACTTCCTCAAGCACTGCCCTCCCCAGGGTTTGCCCCAATTCTTCAGGAATTTCCCAACCCAGAGCTGGTAACTTTAGTCATCATGAAATATCTTATTTGCAGCTGGAAGGTATCAAGGAATCTGCCGGGTCCCTGATACTCTTTGAATCCCTTCTTTGGATAAAAAGCCGCCTAAAGCTGAGCCGTGCAGTCATTTGGCAGGAATTTGAGAGCCAGTTTGGTGTAGTGGTTAAGTGCCTGGACTCTAATCTGGGAGAACCGGGTTTGATTCCCCACTCCTCCACGTGCACCTGGTGATGTGACCTTGGGTCAGTCACAAACTGTGGCACAGCTGTCCTTGAAAAAGAGCAGTTTGTGTCAGAGCTCTCTCAGCCCCACCCACCTCACAGGGTGTCTGTTGTGGGGAGGGGAAGGGAAAGGAGTTTGTAAGCCGCTCTGAGACTCAAAGTGAAGGACGGGGTATAAATCCAATCTCTTCTTCTTCTTCTTCTTTATTTATTTCACAAATTTTAATGCCCTGCCTTTCTGCCCTCATGAGGGCCACCAAGGCAGCTAACGAATTACAATCTTCATAATAAAAATCGTATTTCGAAACCATTGAAACCAAACAAACAACCAGCAACAACGTCTGAGAAGGCTCCATTGCTGATATTAGGGTTGCCAGCTCCAGGTTGGAAAATCCCTGGAGATTGGGAGGGGGGGGAGCCTGAGGGGGTGGGGCTTGGAGAGGGGAGGGGCTTCACTGGGGTATAACGCCATAGAGTCCACCTTCCAAAGTGGCCATTTTCTCCAGGGGAGCTGATCTCTGCCACCTGAACATCGATTGTAATAACAGGATATCTCCAGCCGTCACCTGGAGGTTGGGAACCCTACTGATACCACAAGATCTACCCTTGAAAAATGAGGTTTGATAGCAAAGCTGTTCCCGAAGATTTCAGGGCCTCCGGGAATTTGATACAAACATGATGCATACTGGGTCAGCATGAGCGAAGCAGATTATTAAAGAACAACATATTGTCCATTATCTCATCAGGTACTCAATTTTTACCACCAAATGGTTTGTCATCTGGATCGTGTTGCCTTGGGCATGAGTGCATCTATATTACCCACCTGGTGCCTCAGTCAGGTCGAACTCTGCAAGGCCTGTTGTTGGTTTGCGGATGGCAATTAAGAGGGAGCTCTGAAACATTTAACAATAAATTGCTTACCTGCTTCCTGTTAAGTGACTGCCTTTCTCTCCCCCCCCCCTTTCTCTTTTGCAGGTTGTCTTAGTCTTCGCTCTTAGTATTGGTGCTCTTGTAATATACTTCATAGATTCGTCAAAGTGAGTATTCAGATACATTTCCTCTTCCCTTCCTCTCCCGCCCAAGCAATTATGGGACTTTAAATTGCTTCATTCATCTATTTCAGCCCAACGTATTGTACTTGTCACCTGTTTGCAATAAGAGAGGGAGACGGGGTGTGTGGGGGGGGGGACTTTAAAATACAGCCAAGCTTTTCCAGGCTGATTTTGAAAGGTCTTGGGGGGGAGAGATCTTTCGTCATAGAATTATTTCTGATCTTTTGAGATGGGAAAGGGAGGGAAATAATTCCTTTGTTTTCAGAGTATGGATACATTACCTAAACTCTGTTCTTGTAATGATCTTCTGGATCAATTCCTCTCCCTATTAAAGGAGGCAGACACAGAATAGCTTAGGGAAAGAAAAAAAAAGGGAAAGAGAATCTGATTTTTGAGAACTAGAGATATTTTATTAATCATATCGTGCATTTCAGGAGGGCCAAATCAGACATTCTATAAATGGTCTGCTCCAGCTGCTCCAGCTGAAAGCGGTCCCTTATTTCCCCCTCTTTTTTTCATGGGAAATGTTTCATACAACTTCACCACATCACCTTGTGATAGCAGAACTTTCCACATTTCTCTGCCAGTAATGTGGAGCAGGAGCCAGTGGCCGCCACAACAAGACTCTAGATACTCTTGGGAAGGAGGGGTCATTTTCTGTGGTATCTTTGCACTTGCCCAATGTCTGCTTTGGCCCTGAGAATCCCAGCAATATCTCATAAAATTGACCTGATAAACTCTGTTGTCATATCAAGGAAGGGTGCAGGATGTAGGATCTTGAAAATAAACAAGCATTTTCTTCTGGACTTCATGGAGGGTGCTGGTTTGGGTGGCGTACTATTAATACATACAATTCACAACCGTATCATGTCTGTATCGCATTGGGACAAAATAAAATAAAATATCCCAGCTTCAAGTATAGGATAATGGCGTCTGAACTTGTTGAGACTGAGAGGGGAAAAGACCTCGGGATCGTAAGGTCCGTAGTCATGAGAGTGCATTTGAGGGCGATGCCCCCTGCCAAATTAGCCCTGCCTCCTCACTGCCCATCCCTCCTGCCCCCCCTTTCCCCTCCAAAAATGGCCTAAGGTTTTGACATATCGTAGCACAGAAAGGGTCACAAAGGTTGAAGACGTTGCCCTGCTGTAAAAAGGGGTGATTCAAGTCCTTTTATGGATCAAAAACTGGCTAATTAATAGAAAACAGAGAGTGAGTATAAATGGGCAGTTCTCTCAGTGGAGGGGGGTAAGCAGTGGGGTACCGCAGGGATCAGTACTTGGTCCACTGCTTTTTAACTTGTTCATTAATGATTTGGAGTTGGGAGTAAGCAGTGAAGTGGCTAAATTTGCGGATGATACGAAGTTGTTCAGGGTGGTGAAAACCAGTGAGGATTGTGAGGCACTCCAAAGGGATCTGTCAAAGATGGGCGAGTGGGCGTCAACATGGCAAATGGGGTTCAATGTGGCCAAGTGCAAGGTGATGCACATTGGAGCCAAAAATCCTAAATATAAATACACGTTGATGGGGTCTGAACTGGCAGAGACTGATCAAGAGAGAGATCTTGGAGTTGTAGTAGATAACTCACTGAAAATGTCGAGACAGTGTGTGACTGCAATAAAGAAGGCCAATGCTATGCTGGGGATTATTAGGAAGGGTATTGTAAACAGATCAGCCAATATCATAATGCCCCTATATAAATCAATGGTGCGACCTCATCTGGAATACTGTGTGCAATTCTGGTCACCACACCTTAAAAAGGATATTATAGCTTTAGAAAAAGTGCAGAAAAGGGCAACTCGACTGATAAAAGGGTTGGAAAACTTTCCCTATGAGGAAAGGTTAAGGCACTTAGGGCTCTTTAGCTTGGAGAAATGACGACTGAGGGGTGACATGATTGAGGTTTATAAGATTATGCATGGGAAAGAGCAGGTAGAGAAAGAGGTACTTTTCTCCCTTTCTCACAATACAAGAACTCGTGGGCACTCCATGAAATTGCTGAGCGGTCGGGTTAGAACGGATAAAAGGAAGTACTTCTTCACCCAAAGAGTGATTAACACTTGGAATTCACTGCCACAGGAAGTGGTGGCAGCTACAAGCATGGACGGCTTCAAAAGGGAATTAGATAAGCATATGGAGCAGAGGTCCATCAGTGGCTATTAACCACAAGGTATAGATAGGGACTCTGGGGCAAGTGATGCTCTGTCATCTTGGTGCTTGGGGGGGTCAACAGTGGGATGGCTTATGTTGTCCTGGCCCCACTGCTGGACCTCCTGATGGCACTGATATTTCTGGCCACTGTGTGATACAGAGTGTTGGACTGGATGGGCCATTGGCCTGATCCGACATTGGCATCTCTTATGTTCTTATGTTCTTAAGTTCACTGTGAAACATTTTATCCTGAGCTGTAAAAATCATAGAAGAATGAAAGTGCTTCATTTTGACCGGCCCAGGATCTTTTTTTTTAATAAAGGATTATATCTGCACTGTTTCAAAGTTTACATACACCCCCCCCCCAACATAAACGGACAATGGGGTGAAAACAGGCTGGGAGATGAGATTGGCCATGGCTATAATGGTGGCTCCATCAGGTGATAATGGCTTGACATTGTGGGAGATACCGGACCGTGTTCCTGTGCCAGGTAGCTGCGTCAGAGATTGAGAGTCAGCTGCTGTTTGGATTCTGGCCATATTCGGTGCTGACTGCATTGAAAGGAGCCTTCCCCTGCTGTCGTTATTATATTTCATCTAAAGCAATAAGAGCTCAGCTATTGCTAATAATTGAATTATCTGACTATCCCTTCTTGCTTCTGTTGTCACCGACAGAAGGGTTTCGAGAAAACCTCCATTACAGCAATTCCTCTTCCTTCCGATAGGAGCTTTTTTCTTGATAGAGGATGCCTTTGGGGTTGTTTGAACTTTTGATAGGTCAGTAGAAAAGAGTAAGAGTCCAGGAACACCTTAAAGACTAACAAAATTTGTGGCAGGGTCGGAGCCTTCGCGAGTCACAGCTTCACTTCTTCAGATATCTGAAGAAAAAGCCTCCAGGCTTGGTTTTTCACCTTCTGAAAACAGCCAAACGGTTAATGAAAGCTTAGATCAGGGGTCCCCAACCTTTTTGAGCCTTCAGGCACCTTTGGAATTCTGATGCAGTGTGGTAGGCGTGGCCACAAAATGGCTACCACAAAATGGCTGCCCCGTTAGGCTGAGCCAGCCACAAAATGGCTGCCACAGGTGACCTTCAATCACACATTGAAGATGCTTCTGCTGTGGTGGTATCTACTGCCAGTGCAAGGTTTTTAAAAAATCTGGACAACCAATGAAATCTCTAATGGCCAATCAGAAGAACACCTGGACAAAAGCCTCACCTGGCCCCACCCACGTTCTGAAAACTCTCAGCAGGTTCCAGGAAATGTGTCAGTGTACTCAGTGATACCCATGGGCACCACATTGGGGATATCTGGCTTAGATGTCTCAGTTCAGTTCAGTTAACCTTTATTGACATAAAATACCTTTAAAAGGATTTATACACACACACACACACACACTTAAAACCAAGTGTAACCATACATATAAAACATATAAAACGTAATGTAGGTAGGATAAAACAATTACTTATTGTATGTTTTCCTGACATAGCTTATCACTGATTGTAAAAACATAGCTACGTTCATTGATATTTCCAGAAGAGAGTCATTTAGAAGACGGTTTGGTGTAGTGGTTAAGTGTGTGGACTCTAATCTGGGAGAACCGGGTTTGGTTCCCCCACTCCTCCACTTGCACCTGGCTGGATGACCTTGGGCAAGCCATAGTTCTGTCAGAGCTGTCCTTGAAGAAGAGCAGTTTCTGTCAAGAGCTCTCTCAGCCCCACCGACCTCACAGGGTGTCTGTTGTGGGGAGGGGGAGGGTTTGTAAGCTGCTCTAAGACACCTTTGGGTAGTGAAGGGCGGGATATAAATCCAATCTCCTCTTCTCTTCTTCTTCTAAAGCATCAGGAAGGTTCATCATGTTGGCTAAGATAGAGTTTAAATATCTAACATGTAAATCCACGTAAAATTGACAATGTAAACAAATATGCGAAACAGTTTCAATACATTCAGAATTGCAATGGCAAAGTCTGTCCTCATATACTATCTATATATCTAATTTCCAACAGAGGGCGTGTTGTGCGGATACTTATTTCCACTATCTATATATCTAATTTCCAACAGAGGGCGTGTTGTGCGGATACTTATTTCCACTAACAGGAAGCTCACTCTGCCCCAACAGCTTTTCCCACATAGTCAGTATACTTCCTGTGTCTGCAGAAAAATCCAAGAAGTAAAAAAATCCCTCCAGGGACGGCTGAATTCCCCCCAATACCTTTTGAAATGGCCTCTGCAGGGATCTAACTCCAGGCATCAACGGTGAGAGAGAGATTAGAACGTTCAGGGAGGCAGTGGGGGCAGCCCCGTAGCTAGGGAATTCTTTGGGAGGGGGCCTTGGGGGGGCCCACCAGCTAATTAAATGGAAGTACAGTGCAGGTGGTAAGTTGGAGCACTTTGGGGGCAGCCCTGGAGGGAGGGGGCCCAAAAGAAACACAAGGGGGCCAGGCCCCGTGGGCCCCATGTTAGCTACGGGCCTGAGTGGGGGGGAGGAGGCTTCTAACTGGCTCTGTGAGTCAAAGGGTGGGGGCAGGGCCCTTTCCAGGCCTCTTTTGGCCTCGGCAGGAGGGAGGGAGGGAGCCTTGGGGCCTGGCCTGACAAGGGCTGCCAGGGCCAGCCTGGGGAGTCCCTAGAGGTTTTGAGGTGGACTCTAAGGAGGGCTGGGTTTGGGGAAGGGAGGGGCCTCGGCTGGAGTTCAGTTGTAAGTCTGGGGGGGGGGGGCCTTCAGGCCCCACTTAGAGGTTGGCAACCCTAGGCCTGGCAGCAGTTTAGGTAACAGCTCTGAGAGAACTTGTGACTAACCTGAGGTCCCACCAGCAGCTGCATGGGGAATCAAACCAAGTT